CCAGTACAGCAAGATTTTGAGTTACTGACTCTTTCAGCAGCCAGGGAGAGAAGGCAAGTGATGGGAGAGCCCCTGCAGTGTGCCTGTACCAGCTGGGTCCCACTCCTCCTGCCTTCCACCTCCAGGAAATTCGTACTGAGTTCGTGGCTCCTGTTTTCCTCCTCCTGCAGCCTGACACCAGTATTACCCCAGCTGAGGGCTCCTGGCTTCCACTCAGGAGACAAAACCTTGTGGATTTTAGTCCATGTAAGCAGTACCAGCATCTGGCTGATGTTTCCAGACCCAGCAGAAGAGATGCTCACTCTACAACACCACCCCATAAACAGGAAGGCTCAGGTCATCACAAGAAGGTTTGGCTGGTTGAGGTTGTATCTTTGAGTTTCACACTCGTGGAGTGGCCACGCCTAAAGAAACTGGGACCATTGCATGAGAAGTAAGATAGGCCAACCTTGCTGAGGGTGGTTGGAAAAGCCCATATAACCACCTAAACCTGAGTGGAGCTTTGAAGAGGAAGCATCACCAGAGCTTGCAGTGTTATCCCAAAGCAGCTGAAGGATGGGATCAGAGAGGCCGTGCTCAGCTGGGCAGGGCAGCGCTGCTGGCCATGGTTGGGGTTGCCCTGCAGCCTTGCAGCCATCGATTTTGTCTCCCAACATGCTCTCAGTTAGAAAGATCTGAACCCTCCAGGGCTGGCATGTTTCCTGAGTTGCAGTTGAAGAGGAAGGCAGGAGCAGGACAGGAAGAGCTTCTCCTCATTTCCAAGCATCCATCACCAGTGAGGATAGGCACTTGTATCCCAAGGGAGGACTTCAGGAACTCCTTTTTGCACCCTCCATGCCAGAGCAGGCATTTTACAGCAGAGCCCAGCCCAGGGCTGCTCAGGCAGGGTCAGGCACCTTCCACCAAACCTGGAGCAGCCTGGCAAGGTGGAAAACCCTTCCCGATGTCCAACCTGAGCATGGACACCGAGCCTGGACATCCCACCTGCCCTGGATCAAGTCTCCCCCCAGCAGCACCGATGGAAACTCCAGCTGCTCCTGCTCCCACCCCATCTGGGCTAAGGGGACAAGGTCACCGCAACGCCATGTGAAGCAAGTACTGCCCACAAGGCTCTTCCCCAGCCTCGCCACCTCAGCCCTTGCTGGGACACAGCAGGGCCGGTGGCCATGAGGGGAAGGCAAGTGGGAGCCCCAGGCAGCCCCAGCACAGCAGCTCTCCGTCACCCTGCCCAGGGCCAGCAAACAGCAGGCAGAGCACCCAGCACCAAGTGACCAGGAAGCAGGAGCCAAGGGGACAGGGATAAAGACAAGGCTGTGACACAGGTCCAACACCCACCCCAAAGATAGTACCAGAGCCAGGACTTGCCAAGGGTACCAGCACCCACCCAAGCGACTCACCTGGGGCAAGAGCCGCTTGCAGGGGCAAGGTCCAACAGGACATGGCCAGGAACAGAGCTGGAGACCAGCAGAATACTTCAGGACAAGACTAGCACCCCCAGCTGAGCTTAAATAACCCCCTGGGCCCATGGGTGGGGGTGTAGGTCCCAGGTGAGGCTGCTCAGAGCCATCAAGGTCCAGTAGTGCCCATGGGAGGATGGCAATTTGGCCCTGCAGCTGCCCAGCTGAGCTGTACCAGGGGTGCCACAGCAGTCACTGTTGCTCTGGTGCGTGCTGTGAGTTGGTGATGGCCCACAGTGCTGAACACTGAGGTGGGGTATGGTATGGCCATATGTGTGGAATGAATCATTAATTGCTCTTGGCCTAACTCTGTCCCTGTTTGGGTTTCTCCCCCTTGCACCAGAGAGTCACCTCCACACCAAGGGGGTCCCTGCTTCTGGAATCCCTTTCCTGAAAGTCTGAGGAACTGCCACCAAAATCACTCCCTCAAAGGCTTGGAAATTACCCAAAACATCAGTGGCAGCGCTGGGTATAACTGAGCATCCCTTCGCTGGGGCTTGGGCCAAGCTGCTAACACTCAGGATTCACACTCAGCCTCTCGGTGTGAGCAAGACGTGCTGTCGAGGCCAGAAATGAAGTTGGTGTCTGCAGGGTTGCATGTAGCCCATCCCCACCCAAAGCATTTTGGTCCCCTGAGCCAGGACAGGTCTTGAGATCATGGGTTTTAGGTCAGAAGTTGGGTTTACCATCCCAGAGTTGGAGGCTTGGTGCTGCTGGTTTGGTGCACAAGGGCTGCTGTTGCAGCAGGGTGAGATGGTGCTGTGCAAGGGGATGGCAGGGGTTTCTAATCCCTGTGTTCCTGTTAGCAGCCATGAATTGGAGAGGTTAAAAAGCAGCTTCTCCCATAGTTCGGCCAAAGCTGCCTCTCCCAGCTACCCTAGCCTAAATGTATGTGCCTAACTCCTCCTTGGTTTCTTCTGCTGCAAGCTCTGGGTCTTGGTCAGGCTTTGGGGGGGAGATTAAAGACATCTTTCTTGGGCAGGGGTGCACTCTCATGGCATGGTCTCAAATGCTGTTATCGGGACAGATACCCACCTTCTGCCTGTCTTCAGGTCTGTCCCTGCTGGGAAGTGTTTCAGACCTCAAAGTCTTTTTCTCCTCATTCCCCTCTGGGGTCCCTGTGAAGGACAGAGGTGTGGGTGACCCCAAATCCTCCCAGGCCCCCTGTGCAGGGACAGAAAGCCCCGGGTGCCAGTGGCTGTGTCCCAGGTGGATGCTGAGAATGGTTCTTTGTTCCCTGTTTCTAATTGCTGGGCCCAGGCAGCTCGTTAACCGCTTTGCCTATGCCCTGTGTCCCTGCAGCTGCTGCCTGGGGGGAGACGTGCTGCGGCTCAGCCTCTGAGTGCAGATTTTGGGGTGACACATAAAACTCTCTCAAAGTGAGCTTGGGGTGAAGCTGTTAGTGTTGCTTATCTCTACACAGCCCAGGGGGATGCCTGGAAAACGGGGTTGTACGTGGCCAGAGCAGACATCCACTAACAGGTATCCAGAGCCTCCTCTGTAAACTCCATCTCAGTTTTCTCTTCTGGCGGAAGCCTCTTGGGTTTTTTGGGAGCCAGGGACAGTACCAGCCCCGCCATCCATGTGTGATGACTTTGGGAAGCACTGGAGGACACGCACTTTGCTCTGAGCCCAGAGGATTGCATGACCCTAAGAGGGTTTCAGGGCTGGGGTCCTTCCCACGGCCCCCGATTGCCCCGGGGCAGAGCGGAGCCCAGCCATTCACCCCTGTATGTACAGATCTGGGAGCACAATCGGCCCTTTGGGAAGCTCCATATGAATGATTTAGAAACAATTTTTGGGCTCTTTTATGGAGGGAGCTTGTATTTGCATTTGAAAACTGCGGAGGAGCTGGCAGTAGGGGAGAACTGGCTGGGTGCTATCAATGGGAAACTGTTCTGTCTAATGCTGCCGGGGCCAAAAAATGTGAACTCTGCAGATTTCTGGCTCTGTTCATGGTCAGAATTGCTGGCTCCGTGGTCGGCGTCCGGCTGCTCCGCTCCCAGCTATTAACAGCTCTGCTCGGAAGCTGGTTTTCCTTCGCTGCCAAAGCAGAGAGGGGTTTTGTGAAGGATGGAAGTGGGGGTGCCTGGGATGTGAAACGGTGGGATTCAGCTCACTACAGTCATGAGCTGGGAAGGCTCTTTGTGCTCACCAGCTCTTATCAGCCTGGGATCCAGTTTGTGGTGTTTTCAACCCTAAAGGCATCAGTTTGCATTGGGAGTGGAGCTGAGGCCCGATGCACATATGTCACATAAAATCCCCTTGTGCAAGCCTCCTTTGTGCCTGCCGTGTCCCAGTCCCAGGCTGCAGCATCCCAGGAGACATCATCATTAATAAATGCTCCTTTTTTTTTCTCCTTTCTCAGCCTGTTTTACCCTACTCACCCTTTACGCCGGCGGGGTAACCTGTCCCCAGTGCCCCCTACCCCATGCTGCCTGTTCTTCGTCCTTCCTCACCAGCTCCCGCAGGTGCTCTCGCTGCAGATGAGGCCGTTGGGTGCGGGCATCCTCGAGCTCCACAGAAAAAGAACCATCCCTGGTTCAGGCAGGGAGGGCAGCGGAACCGGGGGCACACGGGGATGCTGCGGCGAGCAGAGGCGAGCTGGCGGTGGCAGCTTGCCGGGGTGTAGTGCGTGCACAAATAAAACCCCGGAGAGCTTTGCACTGAGCTGGAAATAACGGTATTACAAGCGCTTGCTTGCTTCTGGCCGCTGTTTGGGTCAGGTGAGGGTTTTTGGGGCTGGGTGAAGAGCTGCAGCACGTGTGGGTTTGCTCCTGGTTTTTGCTCTGGGAAGGTGAGTGGGAAAGAACCTCCAGGCAAGGTGGCTTGTTGGAGAGCACAGGGGCAGAGCGCAGGTCTTATGAGGAGCGGCTGAGGGAGCTGGGGGGCTCAGCCTGGCGAAGAGGAGGCTCAGGGATCACTCCCTACAACTCCCTGAGAGGAGGGTGCAGAGGGGGGAGGTTGGTCTCTTCTCCCCAGGGACAAGTGATGGGACAAGAGGAAAATGGCCTCAAGTTGCACCAGGGGAGGTTTAGATTGGATATTAGGGAAAATGTTTTCCCAGAAAGGGCTGTCAGGCACTGGAATGGGCTTCCCAGGGAGGGGGCAGTCACCATCCCTGGAGGGATTTAGGAGACATGTGGACAAGGTGCTCCGGGACATGGTTTAGTGGTGGCATGAGCAGTGTTAACGGTTGGACTTGGTGGTCTTAAAGGTCTTTTCCAACCTAAAAGACTCTATAACTCTATGATTCTAGTCTATGACAGGACCCCAGCATGGTCCTCACCTCCATCCTGGCATCCGGGTACTCACCAGCATCCAGAGATTTGCACCCACAGAACATCTCCTGCATGGAAAAGCCCTGCTGCCGCTGCGTGGGCTGCATCCTCTGTGTCCCGATGTGGGAAGGATGAGTCCCCTGGGCAGACAGCAGAGGGAATGGGGAGAAAAAATAAGTGTATGACAAAAAATGTGTATTTTCTTTTTTTGTTTTCTCTTTCTTTCTCCTTTGCCCAGGAGGGGTGAGGGCTCGCCGGCAGCATGCCGCTGGTGAAGAGGAATATCGAGCCCCGGCACCTCTGCCGGGGGGCTCTTCCCGAGGGGGTGACGAGTGAGCTGGAGTGTGTCACCAACAGCACGCTGGCTGCCATCATCAAGCAGCTGGGCAGCCTCAGTAAGTCACGGCACAGTGACCTCAGTGTGGGACAGGGATGGGACGGTGGGATGCTGGTGGGATGCGGGTGGGAGGCCGCGGTCGCTTGCTCCGGTTCCAGTCACAGAGAAATGTGAGAGCCATGCAGGCTGCAGCCACTCCTAATTCAGTGGGAGTTATCCAGCTAATAAAAAAAAAGAAGAATGCTCAGGGCCAAGTCCAAAGTGGGGACTTGGTGACATTTTTAAGAACTGCTTTCCTCCTGTAGCCAGTCTGTGAGGTGGGGGACAGAAAGCCTTTGCGACCCCCTTGCTTCTCAACTTGGCCTGAAATAGAAGGGTTAGGCAAAGATTAAAAAACCTCAACCTATTCTTTTTAATCTGAGAGCTTTATGTGAAAGAGAGGTCTATATAAAAGGTCTAAATCCTCGGCTGTCCTCCTGCCCTGGGACTGATTTCAGCATAAAAGGGGAAGATGAGAGCACTGCACACACCAGTGTGAGGGTTTAACAGGAGCAACCTATTTCACTGCTGAATATCGACTTAAAATAGAGAGAGATGCACAGGCTTTTCAGGGATCCCCCTCTCTTCTTCCTCCCTCCAGAACCAGATCCTTCTCTAAAATACTCCCAGAAAAATAGACCCTGTATTTAGGGAGCTGCTGGAGGCACGGCAGCTGGCATGACTAGCACCCATGGGTGCTCAGGCCGGTGGCTACCACATCCAGGGGAAAAGGAAATCAAATAGAGATGGCCGAGCTGGGTGACAAGATGAGCAGATGTCAAAGCACCTCGATCTCAGGAGTTGTTTGATCCATGGTTTTGAAGGAAACCCTGAGGAGCTGAGGTGCTGGGCTGGGTGCTGTAGCCTGTAGGTGTCAGCAATGCTCTGCCAGGCTCCCCACTGAGCCCTGTGATAATAATTAGCCCTAATAACGAGCTGTCTTAGCCATGCACCGAGTCCTGCAGGAAAATAACTGCTACAGTAAAACAAATCACGGCTTCTCCCTGCTGTCGTGCTCCCCACACTGCCCTGGTCTTAGTTTTCTGCCATTAAGCCTGGGTTTCCTCAAGTTGTGTCGTGTCAGGGTAGTTTTTTGGCTGCACCTGTCCTGGTAGATCCAGAGGGTTTTTTTGGAGCTCAGACTACAGTGATCCAGTGCCTCCCGCACTGATAAGGATGCTCGTGCGCAGAGGAGGATGCAGGAGAAGGGTGGGTGCACTCTGCTCCGTGCAGTGCTTTGCCAGGTCTGGGAGAGGATGACCCTCAATCCCAAAAATCCGAGGCTGGGAAGAAAGCCTTACAGAGCCAGAGGGGAGGCATTCAGCCCCGGTGGTGGGTTGGGAGAGGGCTGCTTGCCACTGCTGCCCGTGACGGGCGCACGTTGCCCTTTGCCAGGCCGGCACGCGGAGGACATCTTCGGTGAGCTGTTCAACGAAGCCAATAGCTTCTACATGCGGATGAACTCGCTGCAGGAGAGGGTGGACCTGCTGGTCATCAAGGTGACGCAGCTGGACTCCACCGTGGAGGAAGGTGAGGGGCTGGGGCTCTTTTAGGGTGACCACCAGCTGCAAGTGGGTGGGAGACGTGCTGGGGGCTGGATCGCCCACCGTTCCTGGTTCGGTGGGCTGAGGTCACCCCTACATCCCATCTTCCTGCACCCCCAGTTTCACTACAGGACATCAACATGCGGAAAGCCTTCAAGAGCTCCACGGTGCAGAACCAGCAGGTCGTGTCTCGCAACTCCATCCCCAACCCGGTGATGGAGATGTACCAGCGCTGCGACAAGCCCCCACCACTCAACATCCTCACGCCCTACAGGTAGGGTGGCCAGCATATCGCTCCTTAGGGGACTGAGGGGATCCTGGGGGCCCTTTCCAGGAGAGGCATCAGGGTGTGCCCCCTGTTTGCTGCTTGGGGAAGGGCTGAGTGCCCCTTTTCTCCGGTTGCTCTGCCACCATCCCCATTGCATAGGGCACTCGGGACGAATGACCCCGTGTGGAGGTACTGCAGGTAGTGACTGCTGTGTTGGACATGTTTATGGTGGGGCAACAGTTATGGCTGTGATTGTACCCCCGTGCAGGGGAAGAGGGGTCTTCTCCTGTGGCTGATAACCCCCTCTCCTCCCTCCCCCAGGGACGACAAAAAGGATGGCCTCAAATTCTACACCGATCCCTCCTACTTTTTCAATTTATGGAAGGAGAAAATGTTGCAGGCAACAGAAGATAAGAGAAAGGAGAAGCGCAGGCAGAAGGTAATGGGCAGAGGGGGGACAATAGCGGGGCTAGAGCTGGGGCTGCCCAGGACCCTGGGGAGGGTCACCTTCCTCGTGCATCTCGTGGCGCTGGGCGATGCTCAGGGTGCAGAGGAGCTGGGCAGGAGATGGAGCCACAGACTCTGTGTGTCCCCAGGAGCAGCGGCTGGTGGAGGACTCCACCCGGGAGGTGAAGAAAGTGAGGAAAGCCCGGAACCGGCGCCTGGAGTGGAACATGATGGCGTATGATAAAGAATTCCGACCCGATAACAGGTTCTCACCATCCCCCTATCACATGGCGTCATCGGAAGGATCACTGTCCCCAGATAATAGGCAGGTTTTACCTACTACACGTTTAGCTCACTGGCTCACCTTTGCTTTCGTCGTCTTCTCCATCTTTTGGGGGATGCGTTGCCTGCAGCAGGGTTGGGGTGAAAAGCTGTAA